ACATATTATATAATTTAAATATAAATTTTTTATTTTTATTAAAAAAATTAATATTGAATTATGTAAGCTGTTAACACGAAAGAAATAACTTTGGAGGGACAATCACAAGTCGCTGGGTTGACCCAGACCAGATGATGCACCCATTAAAATCCAACTGAAAGCCCACAAAGCCATGGCTACAAGTTAACTGGACCCAGAAAGCCCACCATTCTTAAAATCCACTCAAAATCAAAACCCATTCGGCGAGTTTCAACTTATCGCAACCGAGTTCCCCCGAGTCGACCGAGTCTCCCCTGCTTCTCCACTGAAATTGGGGAAAACCCGAAGATTTTCCTCAGCTCTTCTTCAACAACTTCAAAATCAAGCCCTGAATTGCATCGTTGCTTTCCTTGATCAGGTAAGGTTTTCTGTATTTTGTTCTTTTATCTGTAAATGGATGACAAATGATATTTAAGACTTGTAATTTGAGTACAAATTCGATGATTTAAATTTGTTAGGTTAGATTCATGATGGAAAATGAGGGATTTCCTGGTTATGTTGGCTGCTTTGAAATGAAAAAATGTAGATGATTGCGTTTATGACTGCTGGTTTAGAATGGTAAGAGGTAGGAAATTATGGTTTGATTTCCCTCATTCATGGTGATTATGTGAAACACGAAGTTATGGTGGAATGGATGAGTTGATAGTAAATGATCTCTTGACTAGCTTGTTATGTGTCGAGTTGCCGGGTTATTTTGATTAAGAAATGAAAGCTTATAATGGCTTGAAGTTTTGTTGTGATTTTGTCAATTGGTTGTTCTTACTGAATTACTTGAATGATTATGTTATTTCCTGTGTGTTTAATCATCCATTTGGTGCTTGTGATGTATGCTGCTCTGGTGTTTGATTTTTGTTGGGTGGGATAGGTATTTGGTTTTTATTCACCTGAAAGCTTACTTAGCATATCAAGCTTAGTAAATTAGCTTTTTTGTGTGAGAGTATTGTCCACATTGAATGGAGAGGTGAATTATACATGATGTGGGATTTTGATAGGAGAGATGAATGGAGAACTTCCTAACATAAAGAAATGGATAGTTTTCTATCCTGTTTATATCAACTCAAAGAAAACAGTGGCTGAGGGGAGGAGAATCAGCCTGAGCAAAGCATGTGAAAATCCCATTTGTGCGGAAATTGGTGATTGCTGCAGCCACCTGAAACTCCCATATGCAATTGAGGTTAGTTCCCGTTTAATTTGCAATATTGTTGAACGGAGTTGGTCCCCTTTCCTCCTCTGATCCTCACACGGAGCAAGTTGAAAATATATATATATATATATAATATCTAATTATTTTCTGCACATGTGATTAAAACTGTGCCATGAAGCCTCCTGCCAAAGGAAAAGAGTGCGAACATCACTAAGCCCAATGACTGGCTAAAGACCAGCTGTAATATGAATTTCCTTCAGTGCATGTTCCAAATCTGGGTATCCAAATTCCTTGCAATGATAAAAGTCCTGAGTGACACATAAATTGATTTACTTTAATATCAGTATAACCACATTTCTGCAATCACTGACTTAACCTAGCTCTTTTCTGCAAGTTTGCAGCCATTAAGAGTTGGCTCCTTTTATGGTCAAAGATTTTTTTGGTTTGTGTGCACTGCTTGAAATTGAAACAGTGAAATAATAAGACCAGCATGCCTTGAGTGCTGAAAGTACTGCAAATTCCCTCCCTCAAGGACCATCTTGGTGGTTCTACATTGATGGTGTATAACAAATTGTATCTTCCTAAACTTCCTTTCCTTTTCTAGTCTCTACCTGTGATATAGAGCTACCCATACTTATATCTCACAGCTTCAAACTATTTTTCAGCATTCGATAAAGTTTAGTGAGAATGAAATCTTGAATGGCCTATGACCTTTAGAGTTATCTATTATCCAAATTCTTTTGCCTCCCGTAAAAAGTTATTGCTTGTCTTTGCTATCTTTTATTTCTGGGGTTATGAGCACCAGAAACTGTCTGATGTTGAATATTTCCTAACCTCACTGTTGTTGCATGCGTGGTTTACTTGCTAATTATTAAACAAAAAGAGTGGTAGTTAATAATTCATATGACTTGGGACGTTTCTACTCTTGTAGATTGATAAGGCTTACCCACGTGATTTCATGCAAAGAGGGAGGGTCAGGGTGCTACTGAAAAAGGAAGATGGGACTTTATTCAATCCAGCCATTTCTTCAAGTAAGGATAGTTTTAAAAATCACTTTCATGTGTTTTTAGAGCCTGATTATAGAAATATTAATTTCATCAGAAATGCATACTCATTTACTCAATATTATATCTTACTCTCTATAAGGTAGTTATTGAAGCTGAAAGTGATTTTGATGTGATAGAATACTGTCCTGATTGGTTTTTATTGGCCATCGATCATAGCGGTTCGGATTGGGATAGTTGGTCATTATTGCTTTGTTTCTAGAATTCTAGTCCTGACATGGAGATCATCCAAACACACCTCAAGTGTCAATTTACACTTGATTACTTCAACATCATAAAATAAAAAGGAAATTTGTATTTATATTTGTTGGGTCATTGCAGGGAAACAGCTGATGCTCCATATTGCAGAGTTGGTACCTAGACACCCTGGGAGGACAAAGAAGCAGGAGCCACCATCCACATCAGGAGCCGGACCCTCCAAGTCTGGGAAGGGAGGAAAGAAGAAGAGATAGCTCCTTTATTCCAAATTGCAATGGATTAAACAAACTGGTTTCTCACCAACGTTCTTTGCAAAGCATAGGCTTCTTCCCCTTGAGTTCAACGTCTTCATATGAAAATTTTCTTCAGGTTAACCTCGACACTCTTCTGTCTTTTAGATAAAGTTTTTATGTTACTTGTTTTGACATATTCTCATATACCCGAGGACTTTAAGATAGCTCTTAAGACGATTTGTATGATTATGACACATTTGATTGGATAATCTTGAACCTTCTCTTTGCATGTATAAATTTTCCATTGTTTTAGGCTCTAGTGTCATGTAATCATGTTTTAGCCGTGCAAATAACCTTTCTTAGTTGAGAGTTCATGGTCCCTGGCTCCCTGCTTGCAATAAATGTTCTTTTTGTTAATGGACCTGTTACGTATGGATATTGGGTCCAATGTCTGGTGTGGACATTTTCCACAATCTTGTTTCTATCCTCATCACGTTCCAAATTGCATCTGACACCCCCTGTTCCCCAACATACTTTAATGCGCGAACTGTTTATTTCTGGGGTGAAATTTTCATGCTGGTCTGTATAACCTTTCTCCATCAAATATATATTGATAAAAATGTGTACATTTTTATAACAAGAAAGTGTTTTAATTTAGATTGTATTGTACTATATAATTTAAATCACTATAAGAAGGCAACTTTGAGGTTCTTCCTTTTATCTAATAGTTCTTAAAAACTCTTTTTTATTAGCAAAAAATGAAAAAATTTATCATTTAAATTTTAAAATGTCAATTATAGTATCACCATATCGTGAGAGCCCCTAATTGTAAGGGTGGACGTCTCCACTAGATGGATGATGTTTTGCATGTTAGTGCAAATTTTAATTGGCAAACACTGAACTGCAAAACCCCTGGTCTCCACCTAATTTAGGATGCGTAGATTTGAAAGCAATTTTTGCTTCTCTTGTGCGAAAGTTTTTGTAAAACGGGTATCACGGTTCCTGAATGATTCCTCACGAGTCGCACACAATGACACAACCCAAGGACCCGCGCTAATAAAAAAATGAAAATAATTTCAAAATTCAGGTTTTTTTTTATTAACTTCTTAATATCCAATAATCACATTAGATTTCGATTAATTTAGAATCGAATCATGTTAGATTTCATTGAGAGAAGTTCTCACAGCGTTTATTTTTTTAATTTACAAAATTCAAATTCAAAATTTTATTTAAAGAAAAATGAGTTTTTCCACTCGAATCAAGTTAGTTCAAAATTCAATAATAAACATATAAAAAATATTATATAATTTAAATTATTTTATATTATATAACCTTAATTATTAAATGAGAGTGAGTCACCTTGGACTCACTTTTCAATTTAAGTAAAAAAAAACTCATAAACATATATATTTTAAAGAGAATCTTTTTTTATAGTCTAAATTGTAAAATAAAAATTATTTGATAAAAAAAATCTATAATGTTAAAGAGTGTAAATTTTTATTAAATAATTAATGTTTTATAATCTGAGTTAATTTAAAATGTAAAATACCTTTTTTTGTTATTTTTTAAAAGAAACAAAATGAAAAGAAAACCAACAGTTAATTAACCGAAAAAACTGGTGCTTTGAGGGAATTGTAAGACTAAACCAAATTAATGAATTTACACCCTCGGAATTTGTACTTAAAAAGAGGGTGCAGGCTAGAGTCCAAGAACTTGCAACGCAAAGGGACTGGTCAAGGGTTTCAAGACCCCATGGTCTTCGTCCTCTCTGGTCAAAATCCGAGTCAAAGAAACTCTGCCACATGGTACCCTCTTGTCCCACCTGGCAGTTACGTAAAAGTGATTGCTGATGTGGCACCGACTTTTAAAATCTTCTGCCTCAAAAAGACGAATTTGACATCAGTGCTTCTCGGAAAAGGACAAAGCTGTCCCGTTCATCTCCACAAGATCCAAAACTTGTGGCCTTTTTGTAAATGAAGGCAAGTTTAGGGTTTCCCTTGTTATAGGTTATAAAAACTTTGCTGCATGCTGGCATGGGATTAGGAGAGTAACCAAATGATTAGGGCGTTCCTAAGTCATGTTATTTTCTTCTTTTTAGGTAGATCTCCTCTGCTTGATCACAATCAAGGGCTGCATATGTTTGGTGTTTTGTGCCTTAATCATGCACATTACTGCATGATCTTGTGTACTGTATACCCACAACCATAGTCAAAGGGACTCATCACGGAGGTAGGGTTATCACCATCACTTTACAAAATATTAAGATTTTTAAAAATTATAAAATATTATTTTTAAACTATTTATTTTATTTCATTTTATTGATAAAAATAATTAATAATCATAATTATTAACAAATAATTGATAAAATAATTAATAAATTAAAATCAATAAAAAATGTAAAATTTTTAGATATTATTTCAGGAAAAACAAATTTAAAAAATTAATAGTCTTACTATTTTTGTGATGATAATAACCACACACATTTGAACATGAAACTTTCAAGTTTTTACTTAAAAATTGTCTAACAAACTAATTATTGGATCAAAAATTTTGAAACCACAAAGTTGAAAAATATACCTGGAGCAGCTTTATTTAAGAATTAAGGAAGATATGTTATTGATAGTATTCAGTGGGTACTATAAGTCAAATGTTGTTCTGTATGATATTAAAATGGGTTGAAGGGTCTTCTTTTGCCAGTTTATAGAATATTGATCATAAAGCTGAGAATGGTTATCATAAGTGTTGAAATGAACATGTAAATATTAAAAGGGTGTGATGATTGGTGGCTAAGCCACATGTGTGGTAGTCATGTTGGCACTCTAATGCAGAGGCACTGGGCACATAGTATCTTTTTCTCTACCAATCTACCATTCTACCTTTCCTAGAAAAAGAAGTCCCATTCTCTTTTTTCTTCTCTCTGAAATTTTTTTGGGGCTTGTTAATATATGTCAGTTTGAATGGATTTGCATGGCTTTTCCTTAGTTAATTATAAGGGTACATTTGACAACTCTCTTTCTCTCTCATGTGTGTGACTGTTTTCCCCTCACTTTGTGGGGAGAAGTGGTTTGAATAAGTAGTTTTGGATTTCAACTTTCAACTATGAAGATCTTTTGAAGATTTCTAAGGGAAGTGTGCTGAGTAGATTAAAAGAGAAAGGCATCAAAGAGGTTTAAAATTTCAAGGAACTGGAGAAAAAGAGAAAGATAGAAGCTTTGCTTCTTTCCCTGCTTAATCATTTGTGTGCACTGTGCACAAGTGTGCAATTCTCTTCTTATACCTCAAAAGCCATAAAACAGAAATTTGCTATTTGTCTTTAGAGTGATGTTTATGAAGCTATTGATCCTTTGTTTTGGCAGAATCCCATTAATGTTCTTTGCCTAAATTAGCTGTCTTAGTGACATTTGACTGGTAGTCTGGTTTTAAACCCACATCAAGTCGAGTCTCCAAGAAGCAAGCACAATTCTGAAATATAGGCCCATTGGGACCTATCTACCTCTTCCTACCTTCTCTTTTTCTCTCTCTACCCCCAGCCCATCTGTCTATGTATGTTCTTCTACTATAGGGTGTTTCGCGGAGTTGGAAATGGCTGATCAAGGAGGAACTAGTGCGATGAGGGAATACAGGAAAGCTAACTGGACATTGAATGAGACCATGGTATTGATTGAGGCAAAGAAGATGGATGATGAGAGAAGAATGAAGAGGAGTGGGGAGGGAGAAGGGAGGAGCAAGCCAACAGAGCTGAGATGGAAATGGGTGGAGGATTACTGTTGGAGAAAAGAGTGTTATAGGAGCCAGAACCAGTGCAATGACAAGTGGGATAATCTCATGAGGGACTACAAGAAAGTTAGAGAGTATGAAAAGGGAATATCAGCGAGAGGAGAAGGGAAGAATGATGGATCTTATTGGACGATGGAGAAGAATGAAAGGAAAGAGAAGGGCTTGCCTAGCAACATGTTGCGTCAGATATACGAAGCTTTGGTGGAGGTGGTGGAGAGGAAAGGAGATCAAAGGGTAGCGATTGATGCTGGTGGGTCAGGTACCAATCCCAACATTGGAATTGTTATGGAAAGACCCATGAGTAGTGTTCAACCTTCACTGTCTCCTCGATTGCAACATCAAATCCCAGCTTCTATTCCTACGGTGGTTTTGCCACTTCCAGCACCACCACAACCAGCAGTAACAGTTGCCCCCGTACCACCACAAGCACCGCCAATGGGTCCAATACCTCCTCTTGCATACTCTCAGCCTTTGCCCACAGTAGGTACTTTCTCTCTTGCATTCTGTTCTTTCCAGTATTTAGACAAACACTATGCTATCATTTTCCCAATGACATTCTATCTTTTTCCTCTTTTTACTTTCTTTCCTAACAATAATTTTAGTCATGTTTTTTGCAGCATTGTACTTCAATGAACCAGTCTATAACTTGATGCACCATTGAAATCCTTTTTGTTTTTCTGGAAATAGATGAATTTGATAGTTAGATGAGCTATAAAACTTTTCAGTTCAGTATTAATTGGTTTTGGTCCATATTTTTATGTTTTAGAGATGTGTGATAGCTCAGATTCTGATACAAGGGAGTATTCAGACTCACCAGCGAAGAGAAGGAGAAAGGGAGGTAGTGGGGAAGGAACTAGTACTGCTGCCACTCCAGCAGCAAGCACCACCGATGAAGTGGGCACTGCCATCTCCAAAAGTGCCTCCATTATAGCAGAAGCCCTCCTGGCCGGCCAGGAGAGAGAAGAGAGAAGACACAGAGATCTTCTAAGCTTACATGAGAGAAGACTCAAGATTGAAGAATCCAAGACAGAGATCAGTAGGGAAGGCATTAATGGCTTGGTTGATGCCATCAACAAACTTGCCAATTCCATCTTTGCTTTAGCCTCCCAAAAGAACCAATCTCCTCCAAAATGACTCATGAAACAACAACAAGATCAGAAAGCTCAATCACATTTTGGTTGTTGTACATAATAATTGGTAACCATTTTATGATCTCATTTCATGTTTGCGCTCACTTTCTAATTTCTATTGATGATCATTCTAATTAAGATTTATGATATGTTTCATGTCAATGTGCTTTAAACTGTCTTATCAGGTTGGTTGTAATCCTCCCAAAAGTGGTGAATATAAGCTAATTGCTGGGCACAATTTGTGTAATTCATGGACTATGCATTTTATCATACCCTTATTAATCATTTTGCATCTGATGGGTAGGTAAACTAAACTCACAAGTACTTTATATCAATGATATCTGCTGCATAATGCAGAGAAAGATTCTGCAAGCATCTCCAATGCCAAAAGGGGAACATCAAACCCACTCTCTTCTTGATCTGAGAAAAACCCAAAATTCCAAAAAAATAAACAGAATTCTCAGAAACAGAATGCAAGTGTAATGCACATGCTATGGTGGGAAGTGGGAGAAGAAGGGTACTGATGATATCATATCATTTATAAGGTAGAACTGTGATGCACAGTAGGGGTGCAGTGAGCTGTTGTTCTCTGGGAACTGGTCAAAGGTGACCAGTAAATGGATCACAGGGGAGGGGGATGGTGGGGAGATGTTGTGAAATGACCAAAATGCCCTTGTCTTGATGGTAATGCTATTATTGACATGGGGGGAGTGCTTAGGCTTTTATTCCTTCTTTCTCTCCTGAGAAAAAGCTGGGACCTTTCTCCATCTTTATGTAATTTTCCCACTCAGAGAATTCAGAAGGGAGTCATGAGTGGCTAATTTGGTAGGCTTTGCTGTAATTTTCTGACAAAAGGTCATACTAAAGTCTGCCTTTTTCCTTTATGGACGGTTATGATAAAGAGCCTGGATATAATGGGCATTTTCAGCTTTTCTTGCTTTTTATTAAGTGTAATGACTAATGAGTCAAATTACTGTTCATGCTTTCTCTCTTCCACAAACTGCTTTTTGCTTCACTTTCACTGTTTTGTATTTTTTCGTTCTTTTGGTAGAGGCCCACAGCTGCTTCTCAATTTCTTCCCTGCTATACAAACAATTAACAAGATAAACAGATCCCTCCTCATGGTCTATTTGCAAAAGTTGTAATATATATATATATATGGGGTATAAATTTACAGTTTTTGCTTCAACATTTATAATAAAAAAAGGGGTTGCATAACTTACTTTAAACAGTCATGAAAAACACATGTAATTCAATAAAAAAAAGACAGTTTCATAAGGTAGGTTAAACAGTTATGAAAAACACAAGTAATTAGATGGACTAGTTTGATAATGATTTTTTGTTTATTTGTTTGTTTATTTTAGTTTCTCATTGTAGATTAAGGGTAAAGTTGATAATCTGAATCTTGAACCTCTTGAAATAAGGATTACTTGAAGTACTTTTAAATGCAACTGATAGAGAGACAGTTGCTACTGATATTGAAGAAGAATCATCAGAAAATAGAGATCCATGACTTATTAGCATGCCTTATGATCAACAAAGAGAACAACATGCTCCTCAAGGCTGCTTGCTTCTTAGCTAGTGAAAAATGCTTTGTTTTGGACAGAGCAGTAGAGCACATTGATAATAATTAATAATAATAATAACAATATATCTTTTTAACAAAATTACAATTTGGGGTGAGAGAATTCAAACCCTAACCCTTAAGTTGAAAATGTATCTTTCAAGTGAATTTACAACCATTAGATTATGAGGTCTAGATGCAAAATAATAATAATAATAATAATAACAACAATAATAATGTAAAAAGTAAGCAACCAAGAGAACCTGTACTGTTTTTCTTGCCATGATGGGCTTTCCTCTTTGATTGATTTCCAAGCCGAAAGTTAGAAGGCATGTGCCATAATAACAATAATCAATCAATCCGTAATACCTCCTTATGGGAACCAATTCAAACTAATTGAAACTTTACGAATGTTGCCTGGGATACCTAATTTCCTTTTACTGTTATAGCTTGATTTCCTATATACTTTGGTTAAGTTAGGACTTTATGGTTGATAAAAATAAAAGTTAGGACTTTATGTGGTCTTATATGCAAGTTGGGCTTTATTTATGAAGTGTTTCCCATTGCACTTTATGTCCTATCATAAGATTTCTTTATAGTTTAGTAATCATTTCTCTTACAAATAAAGGATTTTTTATATTAAATAAAGAATTTTTTATATTAAGTGATAAGCGTAGAATTTGAATTTCAATTTTAACAATAAAAAAAAAAGTGAACTAAAATATGAAAGGGTGAGTTCATTACCAAGTAGTATAATCTTTTATATTAAATTTAAAATTTAAATTTCAATATAACATTTTAAAAAATTAAATTTTCTATACACACATTATTATATTCCTTGAATACCCTCACCACAAGTTAAAAAAAAAAAACAAAATTGAAAAGGTGAACTGAAAATATATCGTCATGCCAATAAGCAAACAAAAACACTTACAGAATCTGCAGTTCTTGGGAATGATGAAGGAGAAATCGTTTGACCAGGGATGAGTTTTAGGCTTTTAGCCCATCAGCGGGGATTTTGAAGGGAATATTTACTCTTTTAGATTTTTATGAGGGGAAAATGTTTTTGTAAGATTGTTCTTTAAAAATGTTTTTGAAAATATTTATAAAAATTTATTTTTTAATTGATATTTTTAAAAAACTAATTATTAAATTAACATTTTTATTTATATAAATTATATATTAATTTTTAAATTATTTTAATATGTTTAATCACTTTATTAATTATAAAAAATTTAATACCGTTAAATATATGTTAGTAAATAAATTTTTTTATCAAAATACTATAAGTGTTCAATTAAATATTCTACTTATATAGATCATGTATACTTAACCATTTTGTTAATTATAAAAAATTTAATACCGTTAAATATATGTTAGTAAATAAATTTTTTTATCAAAATACTATAAGTGTTCAATTAAATATTAAAATTGATATACATAATCTATAATAAGAAAATTTTTAATTTAATGATCAATTGTTAAAATCATAATTAAAAAAATAAATTTTTAAATAAATTCTCTAAAAAAATTTTAAAGATATCAACTTGCCTACACTATTCTCTTTTTATAATAAATAAAGACTACCACTTAATTGTGTAGGATGCCTAGCAAAGTGATAACTTATGCAAAACTTCACTTAAATCAGTGGAAGTTAATTAGCAAAAACGTTTCTAAATCCATAGTCCAAATACTGTTACTGTGAATTTCGGTTATATTTTTATTTCTTATTCTAAAAACTCTTAAAATTTACTTGTCACATTCTTGTCCTCAATTTATTGGCTAAATGATGATTTAAAATGATCAACACTAAATTTGTTTTAAGTTAATAAAGTATGGAGAAGCATAGAAGACATTAGATGGTCGAGGAAAACATGTCCTATAATGTGTAGTGGCGCGCGGTCACTGGAGTTATCATTTAAGGAATTGTGTATTAGTTAATTTTTTTTATTAACTTTTCAGCATCTGAAAATTATATTGATTATATTAAATTTTAATTAATTTAAAATTAAATTATATTGGATCTCATATGAAAAAAAGTTTTTTCAACATTTATTTTTTTATTTATAAAACTTGAAGTCAATATTTTATTTAAAGGAAATCGAATTCCATCCACTCGAATAACACAAGTAGTTGGTATTGTATATTAATTAATAAGAAAGCATTTTTCTTATCTCATTAATTAAGATTTATCTTGTTAATTAAGATTTAATTCACTAAAAAAGTTAATGTGAAGTTATTTTCTTCTAAATTTTTTAATTTAAACCGTAACTATTTGCATTTATCTAAAAACACCTTGAACAACTAAATAACAAAGAAAAAAAGGAAAATTTTTTTTTTTTGATATTGATCTCTTTGTATTCGATAACCACATTGAATATCAACTAATTCGGAATTGAGTTGCATCGGATCTCATCAAGGGAGAAGTTCTCTCAGTGCCTATACTTCCATTCATAAGACTTAAACTCGATATATTATTTAAAGGGAACCGACTTCTTTCTACTTAGATCAACCGATAATTGATTAAAAAAAAAAACATGAAAAATTACCGCAAGCATGGTTATGGTTTGTAACTGTTTCCTAATCTAACAATTATGTCAAAAGACAAAATAGCTTGGAGATTTACGGACAGACAATTCTCAACCTTTCTTTTTACGTGATCCTCCAACCCAAGAGACATTTCGGTGGGAAGATGTTGAATGATGGTGCCAGAAAAATATTATATATATATATATATATGTATTAGTGTTTGTTAATTGGATTTATAAATATTATAAAAAATATTAAAATAATATCATTTTTGTTTTAAAAAATAAATTATTTTAATTTTTTAATAAAAATTTATTAAAACGATATAATTTTATATTTTTTT